CAATATGGAAATTAATTCTTATAAATCTGTCTTCTCTCTACCAGAAAATTGCCCCTGCAAACAGTGACAGCTGAGACTCTATATTTAAAATTACACACAAAGTATTTAACCTTGTTTTTCACACTGGCTGGAAAACCAGCCTGCAGTTAAAGGGCATTTGTGGTTTTATACCAGGTGAGAGTGCAGAGGTTGTGTCCCTGAACTGTCAGGATGATGGAGAGGAATGTGAGCTAAACCCAGCTCGGGGAGGTCAAGGTTGGATATTAGGAAAAGTTTTTTTCATGCAGAGGGTGGCTGAGCACAGGAAAAGACTCCCTAGGCACATGGCCATGGCCCCAAGCCTGTCAGAGTTCACAAACCTTTGGACAGTGTTCTCAGGCACATGATGTGAATTTTGTGGTTGTTGTGTGCAGGGTCAGGAGCTGGATTCAATGATTTTTGTGGGTCCCTTTCAACTCAGGTATTCTGTGATTCTGTAGTTGCAGAAAGTCTCAGATCCAAATTGATTGCAGTTTTCCCTGGCACTGGAAAAGGGGTCGGTGGCGCTGGTGCCAGAACAGCCACATCTTTCCCAAAACCAGGTACAAACCACCAAAGAGCAGCAGCAGCACAGTCGCTAGAGCCATCCCAGGGGCTGGACAGGAGGCAGGGCTGTGGTCACTGCCGGCCCAAGCCAGCTGCCTGGTGCAGCTATGGCAGGGACACCAAGGGCTCCCAGGGCTGGCTGTGCCCTGTACCCTGGTAGCACCTGGTCCTGGGAGCTGCTGCCACCTCGTGAGGCTCATCACAGCATGTTTCCCAGTTAAATAACTGTGGGCAGTGAATAACCAGACCAACAAAGCGCTCCCTTTCATGTAGAAACACGGTGGCCCGGGGACTCCTTGGGACAGCCATGCGCTGTCCGCAGTGAATGGAGACATCTGTGTGCAGAACACGGGGTGATGCAGATCCATGAGGGGGTGAAATTCCCTTTCCTTGCCGCGGCTGTTTGCTGAGGGTGTGGGTGTGAGCTCACGGGCATGCCGGGCCGCGCAGCGCCGCCGCCAGAGGGCCGGTAATGGCCGTGTGCTCCCCGCAGGCCCGGCGGCAGCGAAACCGCGTTAGTACCGCGGGCAAGGAGCTGAGGGGAGCCCGCAGGGGCTTTTAGCCGTCCACAGATGGAGGGGGGGAAGGTGGTTTTTAAAACTTTTCCTTTTGACTAGAGCCAGAAGAAAGGTGAGCGCCGCCCTCACCTCCTCCCCAGCTCCCAGGCTTGCTTGGCAGAGGAAAGCCCCGCACTGTAACCTTAAATAAAAATAGGTATATTTTTATTCATAACAAGGACCACGGAGCTCTGGGCTACAGGGGCGCTGAGAGAAGCTCCCCTGGAGTGCCTCATGAGCACTCCTGCCCCGCAAGGCCCTGCTCCACTCGTGCTCCTGTTCCCTGGCAAATGCTTGAGTGGCCAGCTCCAGCCTGGGCCACGAGTGCTCCTCACAATCCCTCCCGAGGCTGAGGGAGCCACGGAACAGCCGAGCTGGGACCAGCTGCTCTTATCACACTGGTAGGCTCTTTGATTTTTCTGCCTTTGATTTTGCTGTCGGTGCCACCAGCCCTGCTGTGTGACAGCACAGCACAGCCCTTGTGGGAGCTGCAGCTGTTTGCTGCACATCTGTATGTGGCCAAACATCTGTACGTGTGTACATCTGCTCTGGGACACAATTTTATGGGGAGTAGCTGGGGCAGGTGGGTGTTGTTCAGCCTAGAGACAAGGAGGGTCAGGAGGGACCTTATCACACCTGACAGGAGAGTGTAGCCAGGTGGGGGATGGATGAGGAAACAGCCTCAAGATACACAGGGGAGGTTTACACTGGATATTAGGTACAGACCCTGAAAGAAGAGGCCAGGTGTGTCTCCGTGGGGCTCTGTACCAGCTCTCCTGTGTCCTCATTGCTGCCAGTAGCTCAGAAGAGGCAGAAGGAGGTAGGCAGAGCCTGGCCATGGGCCAAAGGGTCTCTCACCCTGAGGGCAGGCAGAGAGGTGTCAGGGCTGTGGGTTAATGGGGAGCAGTGCCAAGGCAGGAAGAGGACATGAGCCCTATTCAGGTGAAGGACAAACCTGTCCAGCAGAGATGATTGAGGCTGTAGAGAAGAGGCAGTCCTGCTTTGAGCTGCTGTTGAGCCAATGGAATACCTGTGAGGAGTGGTGAGGAGCGGGGTAACCCAGGAAGAGACCACCGGGGGTACTGAGGTGGGTGAGGGAAAGACCATGTGATATAACATCAACTATTCAGTGCAATATAAAGACTGCTCAGTGCAAACCCCTAATCACCCAGTGCAAAGCAACAACTAAATACACTATTTAGTGCAACACAACAGAGACGACATTCCCTTCCTCGTGTGGGTTTCTGTGGGGTGAGGAGCAGAGAGACCTTCTGTAGGCTGGGGAGGGGTCTCTCTGCAGGGCAGTGGGGACCTTGGGTCTGCGGGAGGTGAGGATGCCTCCAGTGCCATGCATTGGAGAAGGGCTTCCCAAGGACCCCAGCCTGAGGGATTGGGGGTCTTAGCACTTTTTGTTCAGCTGAACCCCCTCTGCTCTGTGTTCTCTGTGAACAGGACTGCTGGGGAGGAAACAGTTTTCCGCTTCTGAAGAGCCTCTTTGTTTCTCTCCCAGCCGTGATCTGAGATCTGGCTTGCCTGAGACAAAGTCTCTCCAGGAATTTTGGATTCCCAGTGAAAAACTTCTGTTTGATCATAAATAAAGCTCAAGAAGCCTTATTCATCAAAAAGAGAAACTTTTTTCTGGCTGCAGAATATGTTGAGGTTCCTGCAGGCTGGGACAGCTGGGTAATGATCCTCAGGGGGGAAAATCTAGAGGCGACATGAACTGTTAAATATTTTAGGATGTAATATTGTCTGGAGAAGGGCTTCCCAAGGACCCCAGCCTGAGGGATTGGGGGTCTTAGCACTTTTTGTTCAGCTGAACCCCCTCTGCTCTGTGTTCTCTGTGAACAGGACTGCTGGGGAGGAAACAGTTTTCCGCTTCTGAAGAGCCTCTTTGTTTCTCTCCCAGCCGTGATCTGAGATCTGGCTTGCCTGAGACAAAGTCTCTCCAGGAATTTTGGATTCCCAGTGAAAAACTTCTGTTTGATCATAAATAAAGCTCAAGAAGCCTTATTCATCAAAAAGAGAAACTTTTTTCTGGCTGCAGAATATGTTGAGGTTCCTGCAGGCTGGGACAGCTGGGTAATGATCCTCAGGGGGGAAAATCTAGAGGCGACATGAACTGTTAAATATTTTAGGATGTAATTATAATATTGTTTAATGAATATCTAGAGAGACAGACTGTGCTGACAGTAGGAGTTTGGGACACCTCCCAGCCTCTGTCAAATGTACAATGTGAGTGCAGATGCTCTCTGCTGTGAATCCCACAAAACTGTGTCCCAGCTCTCCATGGAGGAGCATCATTTTGCATTAAGATGTCTCTGTGTTGGTCAGAAGCTCAGCTTCTCTGCAAGATGAACCTTTCTTCTCCCCCAAGGTTTGAGTGCTGAGCAGGACTCCATTTGGTGTGGGGCATTCCTTGAGTCAGTGCTGCTGTGGCTGCATCTCCTCTTTTTCTTGTGCATCCCCAGCCAACTCGCTGGTGGGGTGAGACAGAAAATGCCTTGACTCTGTGTAAGTGCTGCACAGCAGCAACAAAAACGTCCTTGTGTTATCAACACAGTTTTCAGCACAAATCCAAGACACAGCTCCATGTAACTACAGTGAAGAAAATTCACTCTATCCCAGCCAAACCCAGCCCACTGCTCTGGACTGACAGGCACTGCCATCACTCCCCAGGCTGCTCTCTGGCCACATCTCTTAGTCTCAAGTGCTGGATAAAGGGCTATAACAAATATTGCAAGTAAGGACAAATATTTCCAGTAAAACTTAGTTCTAATTATGTATTTTTCATGACTGAATGTGTCCATTATTGTTTTTCTGGAGGGTGATTTCTTTCTCTGTGCACTACTCCTTTCTGAAAGCCAGGAGACAGAAAGTGCTTACACAGAAGCAAGATGTGAGGCCAGAGACTCAGACTGATTTCAGCCTTCACATGAACCATTACTGACATCAGCCAGACAGTGGCATCTCTATAAAAATCCCAGTGTAAATATATGTTCTAAATCAGGCTTTTACCTTTGTGTTGACTGCAGTGTAAGTGAGGGAGCATATGAAATGCTGTATCATTTCAAGTCTAATTGCCACTAAAAGTTGGAGGATTTGTTGTCTGCCTTGCACACAACCTCCTGGGATAATTTTCTCTTAATTTAGTTTCTTTCCTCAAATTCTCCTCCCTGAACAGTGGATTTCACAAAGACCAAACTGTTTTCCTCCCCACAAAGCCTCTCTCATTCACCTGCCCTCCCTGCCCCTTCAGCAGGCAACCTGGGGTGCATTGATGAAGGGAGATGAATATTTGTCTCTACTAACAGTTGGATTATTCCCACTCCCCAGATGCCATCTGTGTTACAGGGTTTGGTTTGCACTAAGTACTGCCTGTGGGCTGAGCTAGGAAAACAGATTGCTGCACCATTACATTAAATAATCATCATTAAAGTCTGGTTCATCAGAGGACTTTGGACTGCCATGGAGATTTTGGGTTTTTTTTGAGGGGGGATGCAGTTCACTTCCATGTCAGGATGCTGAAATCAGATTTTGATGTGAATTTTATGACACTCTGTTGGCAGCAGTGTCACCTGGGATCCCTAGGGCATCTCACCTGAGGTCTGCAGGTGGGCAGGGGTGAGAACCATCAGCTTCCTGCTGCCCTGAGCTTGGGGCAGTGCAGAAAACAGGCTCTCACTGCCTGTCCCTCTGTCTCTTCTGTCTTTCCCATACCCTGGATGCTGTGCTTTAAACCTCACACTGAGAAATACTCTAAATTCAGCTATATTCTACATTGCAAACCAGCAGGTACAACCTCATGTCCACTGGTTGCAGCTCTGAAGCATAAATACACACAGAGACACACAAACGTGATGCAAAAATCCTTTAATCCTTCTGCCCCTGCAGAGGAATGGCAGAGCTCCAGGGCCCATGGGAAGATGTGGAGCTCCCTGCCCTTCAGGTGTGGCAGGTAAAGCACACAGAAATATTTTAGCCCTGCAGTAGCTTCCTTACATCTGTGACCAGTACAGTAAGTACAATGTGCTGCTTCTAGCTGATTTATTTCTGTATACAATGAAGAAAAAACAGCGTGAAGACTTAATTTGCCTTCTCATTCAAAATATTTGAAGTTTAACAAAATACTTGGGCTAAATATTGCACTTGCTGTGAGCATTTCTATACCAGACTTCTACAAGACCTGTTGGCATCTGTGTATCTATGCCAGGTAGGAGGACTCAGCATGCTCATGATCTCAAGGACCGGCTCTTCTTTGGTCTCCTCTTCCTTGAAAACTTTGATCTCAGCCAGTTGAAAAAGCCACCTTTTGCTTTTAACTCAAATTCTACCGGGAAATGGTCGCTCACTCCCAGTGCCTGCAAGACAACAGCGCAGAGGGTTGGGAGCCAGCCACTCCCTGTGCAAGCCCTGCCTGGATGTGCAGTGCTTGGCTTGGGGAGGTGGCACGTCAGCATTGCATCAGTTTGGGAGTGATGGTCACAGTGAGCTGGTTGTGCAGCCAGCTCTGTGTTCAGCACTGCCTGGACACTGCTGGCTCTGTGCTCCCGTGTCAGCCCTTCCCTGCTGCTGCAGAGGCTGGGCTGTGCCTACCTGCTCCTCAGTCATCTGAAATTCCTCCTGGAAATCAAAGATGTTGGCAGAGTGTGGCACCAGAGCCTGGATGAGCTTCTGTCCACTGACCACAATCCTGCAAGGGACAGGGGAATGGGGTGCTGTGATGGGGTGCCTGACCCGTGGCAGCCACACTGCACTGAGCTGGTGGCCAGAGAGGTGGCTCTGATGAAGTCACAGCTATGTGTGGTTTGTCCTTACCCATGGACTGCCCACCCAGAGATGTCAGCTCCTTTAGGTGCCTCCTTGGCAGCAAGGCACATAAATATCTTGGTGTGCACTGGCCTTGGAAGGCACCATTAAATGACTTCTGTCTAAACCAACCCAACCCAACAATGCTGCAAATTTCAAAGCCCTGCTTTGGATACAAAAATCACAGGACAACGGCTGAGGGATCAGTGAAGGCCTGCTCAGACCCAGAAACTCATCCTTCAAGTGGATTTTGGGATCTAGTAGCAGAGATATTTTTGTCCCTGCAGAGGAAACTGCAGTGGCAGCAGGATTGCCACATGCCCAGGGCAAGGTGAGGGGTCCCCTCTCCAAGCAGAACCTCGCTGTGCGTTTATCAATCCAAATTAAAAACATAGGAGCAAAGCTGGCATGGAGAAGGCAGCAGCACCTCTTGCCAGGTGTCTGCAGGGCTCCCTGCAGATGAGAAGTGCTGCTGGCTGTCCTGTCATCTGTCCCCCCTGAGCCACAGCAATGGCTGGTTCTGTGTAAATCCTGCCCAGCCTGGTCTGCACAGGGCTTTGTGCTCCTGACTAGAAGCATTTGGATCACATTTCCCCTGGACACTGTTTTATCTTTGATAGCTTCATGAGCATTTGTTTCCTCTGTTGGTCACTGACACCTCTTGGTACAATTTTTCTCTCAGAGACTCATAACCAGTGGGTGGTTTGGCAGTGAGCCCTTTACCTGTCATACGAGCATCTGGTGCTGTTCTTCACAGTTGTGTCATTTTTGTCACCAATTAGCCAGAGGAATTCGGAGTAAGTCCTCAAGCGGATGTTCTTCCACTGCTTTTGGGGAACATAGCTGCACCCAGCATTGAAGTCCCCCATGAAGACAAAGTTCTGGAAGGCAGGAGGGTTTCCAAATGTAATCATGAGGACAGCTTTTCAAAAGAAGACCAATGAGGATTTTATGGTCCATGGATGCAGTGGGGTTTCTCCTTTCTGCTGGGCACATCAGGGCATCTGATAATAGTTTTAGTAGGTGATCAAATTTATATAAATATAAAATGTGGAGAACTCAGTGAAAATACACCAGAGATACTCAAAACCTGGGGTGCATTGACAATGGGTTTAAGGTTTTCAGCTCTGAATAGCGAATAACGTGGCCAGTGACTCAGCACCAAAGCCCAGTTAGTGACACAGATGTGGCAACCAACCTCAGTTTTCCAGCGCTGTTTGACATCTAAATACACATCATAGAGCTCATCAATCTCCCGCACTGCTGTGTCTGGTGTGGTGTGCAGAGGGATAACTGCAAACTCACTGACAGCTTCAAAACAAGGCAGAGGAACAAGAAAAATGTAATGGTTAAACAGAGAATGAGTCACAAAGAAACAGAGACTGACTTGTAAGCAAGGGGATTTTTCTGAGGCAGAAGCAGCTTCTGCTCTGACTGTAGGCCAGGGTGATGTCTGTGGTTGCACAGTGACCCCCTCCAGGCACTCAGCTGGGCCTGAGGAGCTGTGCCAGTGCAGGCAAATCCTGACCCAGCACGCACACAGGAACTGCTCCCAGGCCATGCCAGCAGCATGGAATGCACCCACCAACCCACTGCCCATGGCAGCAGCAGAGGCTTTCCCAGCAGGGCATGTGCAGGGCTGTGGGATTTCCCAGAGGCAGCAGCCCTAAAGGGAAAATGCTGCTTTTGGAAAAGCAGAGTGGGGTGTGGATGCAGCCTCTGGAGCCTGCCCTCACAGTGGAACAGTGACTTCTTTCTGAAACACCTCACCAGTTTTGGGAGACTGCCACCAGATGACAAAGGGCTCCCTGGAGAAGACATCCTCATCCCCAGGCTGGGTGTCAGGGTACTGGTAGGTTTGTTTCACCGATACCTGGTCTTGCCTGCAGCAGAATGAACGGGATAGGGGATGTCACACCCGTGGCTCACTGAGATGTGTCACACTGACTCTGTGCTCTGACCTGGACCCCAGGCCATAGTCTGGGGTGGATACAGACACACTGGTGTCTGTGCTGGCATGATCCCCACATCCAGGCACAGCCCAGCCCACCTGCACAGCCTGCACCTCTCTGGCTCCCTCACAGCAAAGCACCACCATGTCCAGCCCATCTCCAGGGGCTGTGCCCCAGAGGACAGGGGAGGGGTCTCACCCACCTGTAGATGAAGGCATACTGCTCCTTGTAGCTGTTCCTTCCCAGCCTCTCGCTGGCCATGCACCTGTACTCCTCCTTTGGCCCCTTCAGCTGACTGGAAGGAAGGGGATGTTCCTGAGTTTATTTCTGCACTCACAGGGGGCTGAGAGTGAGATAATTTTTCCTGTGCCCAGGGGTTTGGGCATTACCTGCCTGACCTCAGAGGCAGGTAATGCTCCTTCTCAGGAGCTGGACCCCTGCTCTGTCATTTGCTCTTCACTGCACCCTCTCCCTGCTTATTGCAGCTTCTGTCTCTCCTTCAGCTGGCTATCATGTCCAGCCAGCTGAACACTGCTATTTCCTCTGCATGTCTAGATTGTCCAGGCAAGCAGTTCCTAATCTAAAGCAGTTCCGAGTCCTGCAGGAAGGTGGCTGTCCTGCTGCAGCCTGATGCCAGCCCGGTGAAGACATTTCCCCTTATTTTTTTCTCCTTTGGGAACTTCTCTGTAGCAAATTGAATTTAACTTGGTTATACTGATTTTAATATGTGTTTTACAATGGTCTGGAACTGCCTTTGCTCCTGTCCCTCAGCGAGACTGTCAGAGTCTGGTCCTTCCTTGACACTGGGACAGAGCCCACATCCTTGGATTTTGCCCCAGCAAAGTGGCACCGAGCAGTGCACAGGCTCTTGCCAAGCAGCTTTCCCAATATTTGTCCATTTTCCCACGGCCACCCTACCTGGTGAGCTTCTCCACCAGGAGGGGACAAACACGGTTCTTGCTGTCCTTTATTTCCATCAGCAACATGATGTCACAGCGGGAAACGATCTGCCAGGGGAAGGAGTAGGAGGAAGTTGGCACACGCCTGGTTTTAGAGGATTGGAAGGGTTAGAAGAAGTGGTTACAGGCATGGGGGAAGTCCTTTGAGAAAGAAGTGCTTTGCAGCCTGGGATCGTGGGAGGGGAGCAGGGGCTGGAACGCAGCTTTTCTGCTCTCAGAGCTGCTGCACGCCCCAGCAGGAACTGGGAGAGGGAACCCGGCAGCAGAAGAGTTTCAGATTTAGTGAAAAACTTCGGCACCTGACCCTGAAGAGGAAGTGTGGAGGGGAAGGGGCAGCAAAAGCCACTCCCGTGAGCCTGATTCCAGCATCACCACCAGCGCTGGGCTGCTGCCTCTGCCCCGCCCCACTCCTCCCCACGGCAAGCACTCACCTGCCTCAGGCTGATGCAGATTCCTCTGAAACAGCCCCTGCAGCCCAAAGAAACACCCTGTCTGAAAATGGGGTCCCAACACCTCCGAGGCACTGAAGGCTCAGCTCCCACAGCTACTGTTGGGATTCCCCGTGGGAAAGTCCAGCTCAACCAAAGCCCAGCATTCTCAGGGGCTTCCCTCTGCCCCTGGTTTCATTGTCCTTTAAACCTTGTGGGTGATTTTTGTCAGGAAAAAAAGCCCCTCTTTGCCCCCTGAAACTTACCCACAGTTATCTAAGTGACCCCAAAATTTAGTATATATATTTATATATGATTATATATTTAGTATATATTGCCCAGAGTGATGACAGCACAGGAAGAACAGTCTGGGAAAGCAAAGCCAAGCAAACCACTCTTCTCTGCCCGTTTGCAATAAAAGGAATACAACCCAGCAACATGGTGCCATTCCTCATCGGTGCCATTCTGCACACACAGCCCCTCACTAATGCCAAGCCCCTTGTCCTCCCTCACTGTGGCATCTTGGAGGGCAAAGCTACAAGTCTAAAAGGTGGTTCTTTTTAAAACCAGGGTTATCTTCAGCTTTTGTGGAGGCAGCCTGATGGTGAGGGTTTGCTTACAGAAATTGGTTTTTCAAATTTCTACCAGACTCTAATTTAACAGATACTATTTGCTGTTCTGAGAATAGGTTTAATTAAACAAGAATATTTGAGACTAATTAGCACATAAAGAAGGTAAATAATGTATAACAAAACAAACCTTTGTGGATTTAAAGTGAAAATTATTTTTACTGTGCATTGAGGTTTTCCTCCTTTTGTAACTCAATTTTCAAAGGAAACAGCAAATATTTTTTCTGTTGTATTCCCATGAAGGCTAAAATAACAACATACATTCTGTTCAACCACAGGCTGATTTTTACTTTCAGAGTACGATATTTTTAAAATAATTAGCTCTTTTTTTTTTTTTTTTTGCTTGATATTTAACTGTGAAAGACAAACAAAGTGCAAGACTGTACATCTAAGAAACCCTAGAAAGCTCAGTGTCTGTCTCATCCAGGCAAACAAACAAACGTACCTTTACCACGGCATCGATGACTTCAGGTCTGGCTATTTTAGTTTCTCCAAAAGACCTCACATTGAAGGAGCAGATTTTTAGGCTCAGAGATGTGTTGAAGTGGAAGAGTGAAAGTAAGAAGAAGAGCAGCATCTTCATGGATCTGGGCAAAATGAGTTGCTGCGAGCGTGCCTATAAATGTGTGTGTGTTTGTGCATCCGTCCCTCTATGGCTGGTTGGGAGGTCAAACCCAGCAGTCAGCTGTGTCAGTCATGAACAGGAATCACCATTTCCTCCTTGCCCTCACTTCCATCTCCCACCACAAAGCAGCATGGAGACTTTGAACTTCTGCCCGAGGGGAAAAAAGGCTTTTCTGAGCCAACCTCTGAATCCTGGCAGAGCAGCAGCTCCAGCAGAACCCACTATCTCTCCCCACGGGGAGACACCAGCTGTGGGATGCTTGCCATGGCTGGGACCACTCTGGGCTGTGCTGGACCAGGACCAGGCTCCCTGGGCCATTCCAGGCCAGGAGATGGATGGGGTGGATGGTGAGAGGGTCTGGGAAGCAGCAGGGGAGAAGACTGGAATTTCTGGAGGGCACCATAAGCACATTGGAAGGGACTGCCAGGCAGCCATGGTAAGATACATGATGCCCCAGCACTGCCCCACAAACTCCTGGCCTAATGTCCCCAGCACAGGAGTCTTGGTTTGTGCATGTGCTGTGTGGTGGAAGGGGACACAGGAGTTTGGCTAAAACAACACCTGAGTGAGGATGCTGCAGGGGGGATGACTTGGTCCCCTGAGGCTTTTGCAGGGAAATCACCCCCCTACCCTCTTAATCCTCTACCTAGTGCCAGCCCTCAGCCAGAGACACATTTGTTGGCCCTCAATCAAGTTATAAAGGCAGGAGGTGTAACAAGAGCTCAAGCTAAATGACATCTTTAAGTGTCTTGAATTTTTCTCGCTGTGCTTACAGGGTGCTTTCATATCCTCCTTCCTGTCTCTAGGAACACCCGGCCTGCCTGCACCCTGCTGCCCAAGCAGGTCTAGACCCAGAGGCAGCAGGACATGGCTGCCAGCTCTGAACCAACTGAACAGGCTCAGGTGGAGACAGCACAGAGCACAGCACGTGGAAGGGCTCCCAAAGACATGGCACAGCTGAAAGCAGTGGGATCTAGGTGGCTTGCTGGGGAGGCAAGTTCTCCAGGGAATGTGCTGCAGGTGTTGGAATAGGCACCACAAATCCCTTTTGGCATTACTGGAATCTGGAGCACTGGCTGCCAGCAAGGGACATGTCACCACCACGTTACTCCAGTGTTTGCCAACCAACAGAGCTAGCCTGGGAAGTGGGCAGGCCATCCTCCAAAATAACAGGGATTAGGTGGTGCTTCTTCTACTCTGGGTCTCCAGTGAGGTGTCCCCAGGCAGGACAGGCTCTGGAAGAAACTAATAAAGAGAGAGGGGAGGGAAAGTGACAGCCTTGGAGGGGTGTAAATCTCCAGCTTAACCTTGCTACAAGCTCAGCCTGAGCCAAGCGCTTGCGACAGCAGCTGCAGCTTCAGGGTCAGAGTCATCAAAACCCAGACCTCTCCCCAAAATCACGCTTGTTTTGGCTACCCTGGCATCAAAGAGCAAGTGTCTTTTGTGGTGCCATGAAGGCTTTGACCCTGAACCATGGCTGTCAGTCCTGTTTTTATCTTCAGGGCTCCTGGCATATCAGTTACCCCTTTCTCCTCCACCCCAGGCATTATCAGGGGGACAAACAGCAGCCAGTCGACCTGTGGGGGTGACACAGGGAGCTCATGCTCATTTCTGCAGCACTTTACTCCCTGTTTACTGCACTTTCTGTGCATATCCTCTTTGCTCCTTATCAGATCATAAAACATGCTTGATGTGGGTGCATGAACACTGACAGTTCAGGGCTGCCCTGCTCTTGCACAAGGAGCTGCTGGTGAAACCAACACAGTCTGGGGGTCTTGTCCCCACTTGGAATGATGGCAGGTGAGGGACACCCTCTCCAGCCGAGCAGCACCTGTGGAACATTCATCAATAAAGCCCCTCCTCAGCTCTCCCTGATCCCAGGAGCTCCCAGCAGCTCAGGAGGCTGAGGGTGAGGCAGGAGCCCATTTGGGCAAGAGCTCTGAGCAGTGAGTAGGTGCTGCCCAGGCCCTCTGGTGAAGCCTGTCCTGGGGGCTGTGGCTGGTGTGTCACTACACCTGGAGCAGCAGCTCAGCCTCCATCTTCTTCCCACTGCCCAGAAGGTGCTGTGGGATGGAAGGGGTGAGGCGTGTCCCTGTGTCACATGCTTGCTTAGGGTCCCCATGGCACTGCGGGGTGTGAGGGTCCTGCAGCCATGTGGGAGGTTCTCCTCTCCCTTCAGGCACAGCTGCTTCCTCTTGGCTGCAGCCCTGGCTGCCTGTAGGGAACATACAGAATTGTTTTTGTTGGCAGAGATGGACTGAGAGGATCTCTGAGGTTTCCTGTGCCTCCCTGGGAGGGCTGGAGGGAGACACTGCGGGGTCAGCCCACATCCCCTTCTGCTCTGGCAGAGGAAGCCTGTTCTGCGCTTCAAGGGCATCACGGGATGCTCCATGAGGGCAAGCACCCATGGGGTGCCTGGGGCTTGGCTGAAGCTTCATTTCTCCTCTGTAGGAAAGACGTGGTGTCTGTGTGCTGCTCAGGGGTTTGGCACTGCTGGGGACACCAGTGCTGCTGTGCCCTTTCAACCAAAGGTGCAAGACTGGCCTGGCCTGCCTGAGCTCCAGTCTGTCGGGGTGTCCCTGCTGCCCTATCTGGTATCCCCATTATTCTGTTCCCCCAAAGAGGAGATTGGCCTCAGGAACCAGGGCCAGCATGGGCAGAGGTGATGTTGGGTGTGAGGGGCAGTGTGGGGACCTACACGCCCAGGCTGGTGCTCCCCAGGAACCACCACAGCTCTGTTTTCTGGACAAGGGGCGTCCCCTTCCATGTAGCAGGCTTTAAAGTGTTGCATGTTTCTTAATTTTTACCATTTTTACACAAATTGCTGCTCTGACAACATCTGCTATGACAGGGGGAGGTCCAGAAAGGGCCAACCCTGAAGATGCCATCACCATAAAAGTGGGTTCCCTTGGGCAAATGAACCTTTGGGCTCTTAGTGACCTCATCACAACCATCAGGCAGAGTATTTTATCACAGTCTCCTGGACTTTCAAGTTAATAAGTAGCAAAGCACTTGAGCCATTTTGGATTGCTAAAGTTCATAGCTGTGCTGCAGGCCATATATGGTCATTTGGGAAGTGGATTCAGTGCCAATACAATGGCAATATTGTCCTGCTGTGACCCTCAGATTTCAGTGCAATGCAGGGTAAAAGTATTTGGTGTGCAAGATACACAGAATGTTTTGAATCAAATCTTTGATACTCAATTTGTATTTATAATTCTGGAGGGTAAGTGTTCTACTTAATTAATTACAGGACTCTGATAGGGTTTTCTTTTTCAACTTAATATGTCAGTATTGTTCAGTTAGTGGCTTGAAGCATGATAGCCTTCCCACTACAAGGCAGTCCAAGGAAAAATGTCTCATGATGTTTCCAGTTTCTTGAAGGAGACTGCTTAGCTGAGCTGTAGGAGAGCAGGTAATCTGAAATACAGGCTTTCGTGCATGACGACAAGATGAGGCTTTGAAGTTAATCCTCTATAAAGATATTGCAGCCACCAAATAAGCTTTTGTGTCAATAAGTACACCCATATTGTTAGCAGTTAAAGATGTAATTAAAATGCATATAATGCATGCATTAACTTTGAGTAGAGTTAATAAAGCATTTTTAAAGCTGTTATTAGGCAAGCAGGTCTTGCTTTATAATGTTTTAAACAGCAGGAGCGTTGTTGCTGTGTTTGTCCCAGGTTGTGCAATGAAGCCCCTGAAGAGTGACAGGGTGGCTGCTCAAGATGTGCACAGAGTTATTTACCCTGTGCTCACCCAGAGCTGCTGTTTGCAACCAAGGTGAGCTGAGATCCTATCCCTGTCCTGGGGGACGACTTTCTTCAGCTCTGTGTTATTAAAGTGGCACAGCTCAGGGCATGGCAAGGCCTTCCTCAACAGCAGCTCCCATGGTGGGCTCTGGGGCACCCACCTGCCTGGCACTGCCCCATGCCCACCGACCCCCGGGCACTGCTCGTGGATTGTGCCACAGGGCCACCACTGTGCCAGCGGAAATAGATGGGGACAAGTCACCCTGGGAAGGTGATTCAGCCCACAAGGCAGCGTGCAGCCACTTGTTATGATTGCAAACAGCTTCACCACGTGCCCTGGGGATTCCTCACCCAGCAGTGGAAAATAACATGGAAACCTTTCACCTAGTGGAGCAATGCTGCTTCTCAGCTTGGTGAGGGAGAACTCTGAGTTCTCCACAGTCACCCTGGACTGAATCCAGCCACAGCTTCCACCTTCATATGGAAAACAAAACTGTTTACATAAAAGTCTCGTGTCCTGGTTTCTGGGGCCATGCAACAGCTATTTCCGATTATTTTTAATGGTTTTTATTGTGTGGTTGCTCTGTTTTAGATACATTTTGTTTCTCATAAGTCAGCAATGGATCATAAGTCATCGTTGTGGTCATTGTCTGTCCTGCTCACAGGATCAAAGCTGTGCTCCTGTGCTGGTGGGAAGCCCAGCTGCTGACACGGGCATTAGGAATGAGTGATTCTCAGCTAAGGGCCAGCATAGCTGGTGCTGGGCTCCAAAATGCCAGCAGCCTCAGAGGGTGACCAAGGGGTGACTCAGCCCTTGCCAGCTGCCACAGCTGTATGATGAGTCGTCTGTGGGCTGAGAAAAGAAACAAAACTCATGGGGCAGGTCAGTGCAGGCACTGGCTTTTAACTGGGGCTTGCCACATTGCAGCCATCCCAAACATGGCCTTGTAGGGTCATAAGGAGGTGCCCACAGGACTGCTGAGGTTTCCTCTGAAGCCTGAGGCTCATCTGTTCTCTCTGGGCACAGGGAGCCCAGCCGTGCCCTGCACTCTCCCCGTTGCTCCCCCTGTGCCATCTCAGGTGCCCAAGATCTGCTCTGCTGTGCTGGGACAGAGGGGCAGCCTCAGCCCCTGCCTGTAAAGTGATCAGGGCACTGCAAACTGCCTCTGCCAGCAGGGCTGTGACCTGCTGAAGCTGTGGCCTTGCCCTGGCAGTGGCTGGATCAGAGGAGCCCATCACCACCAAAGGAGACTC